ATGCTGGGATTGGCCTGCACGATCTCCAAGCCCTCCGTGGCATAGTAGGGGCCACACGAGCCCAACACCGCCGGAAACACGGAGTCCTCGTCAAAAAGCTTGCCCATCATGTAGTTGTTGTCCTTGAACAAGCGCCAAAAGCTAACCATCTGCTGTGAGTTATTATCCGCAATCTCCTGGTTGACCAGGGCACGTATCTGACATACGAATGAACAAATTTAACTATTTTGCTTTATGAGAACCTCAGATGATTACCATATTATCATCCAATGTCACATTGTACGCCAGGATGATGTGCAGCTTGACAATCTCGTGAAACTCCTCGATTTTTGGGTAAATCTCCTCGCCCTTGCTGTTCGTCCAGCTCAAGTCGTCGTCGTTGTGCTTCGCCAGCTGCGTGGAAATGCCAACTGTAGTAGTCATGGCAACTGAAGCCCTAATATCAAACTGACCTACCTTTACGGCGAGCATGTCGCCATTCTTTTCAGCCGTAAACAGAATCGTCTTCATGTCGTTCAACGGGCATTGGAAGTTGTCGAAGGCCGTCTGGCTGCTGCACAGCTCCTCGCAGAGGGATCCACTGAACTCGTGCTGCTCATACTTCTGGCACTGCCCCACAAATAATGTATGTACATATAGTCGATGCTCGACCTATAAATAACTTGCAAATTTTCTTCCTTACCATGTGCGTGAGGCTCCTGTGAGACATTAGCTTAAAGCAGAAGGATAAGTTGAGGAACGCATAGCTGAAGACACCAACCGCCAACAGGACCGCAATTAGAACCGTTCGCTGCATTCCTAGGCGAAATTTGCGACGCAAGGCAGTCAACATATTTTATTGTGCATTAAATTTTCATCTTCGGCTCAGCCTTTCCTCGACATGCCCACTCGCTGTATACTATACAGCAGCGCATACAGGAACTGTCATCTGCGAATAGTTTGCCGTGTTTTGCGCATGGGCAGTACATTCGCACCCTGATGGCTAAAATGTTGAGGCACGTTGCTATGGGAGTGGCGATAATTCATTGAAATCGATAACACCATAAGTTTCCGAATTGTATTCATTTTCAGCAGAACATCCTAAATTTCGAATTCACTGATTTCCCAGGCCAAGATGATCTATTTAGAGATCAGTATTATTGACATCGATTAATATATCGTCGCATTCCCGCGAAAGTATCGTATGTTGATTTTCAGCGAAATTGGGATTTTAATGCAGAACGGTTACTTGCAAAAAATAGCAACTGAATTCGTTCTAGTTTCGGAGTAAATCTACTTTAATTTAACCGTATGTATAGTAACTTACAATACAAAAATTAAAACAAGCTTCTCCTGTAAAATTACATTTTTCGACATACGAATATTTCGCGGGAATGCGTCGGTATATTCCTACTTTAAGCAATACATGTGCATGCACACTGCTCAACAAGAGGACGATGTACATTCTCTATTGATGTTACTGTTTTAGAATATATATCAGTCAGCTCTATATCAGTCGACAAATGGCCCTACATTTATTTATTTAAATAGATTTAAATGCGTTTTGCAAACCTCTCCTTAACGCCCAGTTATTTATGCACATTTGAAGAGAAACATGGCGAAGTATATGGTTCATTGTGGATCACTTTTGCTATATACGTCTTACTTGTTTCAGACAGATTTCGTAAAGTTTAAAAAATAAATACCAGGTATTTTTTGCTTGCGGTTTTTATATTGATTTTCGATTGAGCTAGTTAAGAATCAAAGTACGGTTCAATCTTTCTTTTTTCCGGGACAGATAAAACTTTCTAAAGATATTTAAGCCCATACAATAAGCTGAGAAAAAATCAAGTAATTCCATTTATAGCAATTGGATAACAAACTATTAGCAACCTTTTCTTTTTTTAATACAAAAATAATTACTTTAAGGAAATGAAGGAGTTTCCAAAAAAATCTATTATTTCTATTCTTTGCAAGCTCTACATGCAAATGTAAATTCAAATGATTTTTTAAATTGCGCTCAAGCTGAAGAGAATGGAATATTAACTGGTTTCTCATATGCAGCCCGAGAGCTATCTACCAATTAATCGAGCCGTAATTTATGAACTGATATTATGTCATGTATTATTGAGTTCTATTCAAGTTCTGGATCATCATGACCTAACAGTCATATATGCATGCATTCCCGTTTGCACCATTAAGAAAAAGTCGTGTTTATTGAAATTATTACTTAACGTATAATTCTTTATTTATACTCTTTGCTAAATTGAGCAATTATTTACTTAATTCATCAATTTAATTTCAATAAGTTTTTCTTTCTTGCATTTAAGTGGTATTAGAGTTTTCATTATTTGTTTCTGTTTTTGGTTTTGGATTTTCATTTGTTTTGTTTTGGTTTTTAGATTTGTAATTTTTGGGTTTGCTAAAAATAATGTAAATTCATAATTACATACCTAGTTCAAGTTTATTATTGTATATCATTATATTATTAATTATTATTTTCCATTGCCCATTTTGCTTTAACTAACGCAAACTCATATTTGTCTAATATTCTGTGTGCTTATGTGTTGTGTGTGTGTGTGTGGGTGTTTGTGTGTGTGTGGCTATGTATAGTTGTGCCTAATTATTCACCTTTATAAGTATTTATCATGTATTTATATACTTAAGATAACTCCCCTGGTATGGTAATACATAATTTTAATAGTTATGTACACAACTATATATTGTTATGACAAATGCTAGAACATATTGAATTAACTGTATCTATCGCCTATGCTCCGCCCACAAATCATAAAAAACCTTTAAGAAGTGAATCAAAATCAAACCATCCGGTTCAGGGAATCGACCAATCCTCTCCATGGATCCATTGTAAGGGTATAACTTTTCTGCTAACGGCTCTCACATTTTCTTTTATTTTGTTTTTCTCTTTTATGCTGTCGTCTAATTGTTTCTGTTAGTTTGGTTTTGTCCTTTGGATTTTTGTTTTTGTTTAAATGTTTTCTCTTTGCAGTTTTTTATTATTTTGTGTTGTGTTTTGCTTTCAACTTTGTGTATGATTATCATAAATTGTTTTGTTTTGCTTCTGTTTTAAATTAATTTTGTTTTGTTTACGCGAACTTCACAGTGTTTAATTTTTGCATTCAGTGAACATTAAAATTGTATGCATCATTAATTGGATTGGTTTCTGTCATTGTTGTTATGAACTAATTTGTCGTTAAATTGCATAGTTAATTTATTGCGTGTGTATATTTAGTTGCATGGGCGTCGATTAACTAAGTTGGGTTTCCAATTGTATTATTTACACATCTGCATTTGACTAGTGCACACAACATTAGACTAGTTCGGCTCAAGTGATATGCATCCCAGATACTCCCCCGATCGGAAGTATCTCGGCTGTTTATCCTTTCAAACTCACAACCAGTTAACATCGTTCGTATTCGTGTTAGCGCAGGTCTTCTTCCTTTTATTATTAATTAATTTATTTGTGTCTTGCTTTTGGCTTTAATTAATTAATTTTTCTATTTTATTTTTAAATTTTATGCAATGTTAACATTTTTCTTTTGATTTTGATTTTGCTACAAAATCGCTGCCGCGTGGCTTTTTCTTTTTGTTGTTGTTTTTTTTTTTTTTTCTTTTTTAGAATTTGTTTTTAATTCATTTATTGTTGTGTTTTACTTAGTTCTTTAAAATAATGTAAAAAATCTGCAAGTCGCATGCTCCTCGTTATTTAATGTGCCATTAAAAAATGTCTATGATTTTCTCTATATGTATTCATTCTTATATTTACAACAGTTATTGTTTTATCATCATCATCATCATCTTCGTCTTCGTCTTCGTCTTCAATCGATCTCTCATCGTCGATCTATTTTGTGGTTGTTTGTTTGTTTTTACTTTTATAAAACCTTTTTGGCAGTGCATTTATATTTATTATTCCGGTTTACCTATTTTTATGATTACAGCTAATGACTACAAATTATATTAAGTATATTCCTTTCTTTATGTAATTTATCTGTAAATTAATTTAATGATTAACTAACAGCAAATATTTACAGTTCTTCGTCCTTTGTTTACCATTAATTTTTTTGTATTGATTTATTTGTGTCACGCAAGGTACGTTCGATTGAATAATTTATTCAAATTATAAGTCTATGTGTATGTGTATGTGTGTAATCAATATATGTAAATTGTTTACATTTAAAGAAATTCAAACTATAATATTTCTATCAAATACAATTGGAAGACAGTTGTTGGGATCCATGCAATCAACAAAAATTGCAAAATAAACACGAATCGAACCAAAAACTTAAAGAAATGATAGGAAATGTAGGGAAAACTTAAATGTATCTTAATTTAATATGAAACTTTGGTAATTTTAAAAATATAATAAAAGTGTTCAATTGTCGTTTGAGCAACACGGCATATTGCTTATACATAAATTGCAAGCATTCCCTGAAGAAACTTCTTTAATTTCAACCATAAAAACTCGCTTATCAAATTGTAAATAATTCCAAAAAAAGAACAACAACGAAAATCACTTTCCTATATGCGATATTTAATATTAACTTACTGACTTAGTGGAATGCTCAATAGCTTGCATTTGTATGTGTTTGCTACAGTTGTTTGTTTTGCTTGCATATGTTAATAATTTTGTAGTAGTTAAATAGTTATATTTTGTTTTTGTTATTCTTACTGCATTTGCTGAAACTCTAAATCTTGTAGCGCTCCTTCGATCACTTAACCCTAATAAATAATTAGTTAAAGATGTTTAATTCTTCATTTTGTTTTTCTTTTTGCTTCTTTTAAAACTATACTTTGGTAGTTGTGCATTATTATTTTCATTTGCTTCAGATTTTGTTTTTTCTTCCTATTCTTCTTTTTTGTTTTAGTTATCTTTAAGTTAAATATGCAAATTCAAAACCTGTTCTTATCTTTAAGTTGAATATACAAATTTTCATACTTATCATGTATACGCACTGTTAGCTTAGGTATTTTTAAAATAGTCGTTGTTGTGGTTGTTCTTCTTGTTATTTGGTAGCTGGCTGCCGTACTCGAATGACTTAATCTGCCTTAGTGTAAGTGTGTCTGTGTCTGTGTGTGTGTGTGTGTGTATATCGCACAATACAATTTAGCTTACCACAAATAAACAATTTTTAAATCATCTTTATCATTTGGCAGTGTACAAATTTAAGTTATTTATTCATTTCGCGATCTGCGTGTGTGTGTGTGTGTGTGTGTGTGTGTGTGTGGCGACGAAAAATGTTGAATTATTGCTTTTAGAAAAGAGTGAGCTGAGAATGCAATCGAATGGTCCGTCCACAGCTAATCCTCATCCAGGCTCTGCGACCGCCGCGGCTGCGTCGCCCGCGACTTCGAGACGACCACATACTTGCGGCCAAAGTAGGGCGAATCTAGGGATGGGAATAGTAAGGCTGATCAGCGGGGGTCTGGCTCACGGTCCCGGATCACTTCTTGCGCAGGAAGTCTGTGTATTTGCGTGCACGCTTGCGCACCTTCTTGAGGGCGTTGCCCAGCCGGAACTGGTCCTCGGTCAGGTCGTGGGTGCCATAGTGGAGCGTGCTGCTGTTGTTGGTGTGGGTGTTGGTGTTGGTGATGGTGCTGGTGCTGTGATGGTCATGGTCATGGGCATGGGCATGGGCGTGGGCGTGGGCGTGGCTGTGCATGTGTGGGTGCAATTGATGCGCATGCGTGTACTGGCCATGATAATGCGGCTGATGCTGATCGAAGTGGGCGTGGTGCATGTACCCATCGGCAGCAGGATTGACTGAAACCGATGCTGGCGACCCCGGCGACATGGGCTGCGACAGCAAGTTCTGCTCCGAGGCGGCGTCAAACGAGTCAAAGTGCAACGATGACGAGTGCTCGCTGGTCGTGGAGCCACCGCCGTCGAGGTGCATGCCAGCAAACTCCTTGGGCAGCTCATCGATGGCCAGCGGCTTCTCGAAGTGCGAATTGCCGGACATGTTCGAGTAGTCGTAGCTGGGATACGTGTAGGGCAGGTAGCCGGCGTGGTGCGCCTCGGAGCTAACCGACGCCTCGGCCTCCCGCTCCCGCTCGCCTGCTCGATTGTTGATGAACTTCACCTCGTTGGCGTTCCGCTCCTGGCCGCCGCTGCCAAACACAATGTTGATGTTGTTGCTGCTGCTCGAGAGGTTGATATTGCTGGGAGACAGCGGCTCCTGCTCCAGCGCCGCCTGGGCTCCACCCGAGTTCTGATTCAGATTCGTTTCCTTGCTGGAGCTGGTGTGGCAGCTGCGCTCGTACCGATGGAAGCATTCGCCAGCGTCGCTTGAAGCCGTGTTTGTGGTGTTGGTGTTGTTGTTCGTGTTGTTGTTACCCTGCTGAAAGTTGTTCTTGTACTGGAACTCAAGCGCATTGCTGGGCTGAAACGGATAGTTCTTGGAATTGTTGAGCACATCGCCCGCCATCGGATTGCCCTTGGACAGGTACTGATGGATGTCCTCGCTGGTGATTTGCAGGTCCTGATCCAGATAGGTGTTGCACTGTATGTAGTTGCTGCAACAGTTGTTGTACGGCTCTCCCTCCTGGTCCTGGTGAAACAGTATGGTCGTCGACTCCTCGAACTCGCAGTGGTAGCTGCTGCCGCGTCGCTTCCGTGCCGCTGCCGAGGTGCTGGGCCTGTCATCATACAGGGAGCTCTTCCAGCTGCTGGTCTCCGTGTTGCTAGTCAGCTTGCGGCACGGCTTCATCTCCGGCTGGGGCACGTGCCAGGCCTCCATCTTATCCTCCGCAGTCGGCTCCGTTGCCTCAGCAGCTCCACCCACGGCGCCCTCCAGCTCCAGCTCAGTGGGCGACTTGCCGTCAGCCAGGAAGCTCCAGCGAATGGGCGACGGCGAGCAGGCATACTCGGGCAGCTCGTTGCTCAGGGCGCCCTTCGAGCTGTGCCGGTCCAGCGTGGAGCTGCGGGAGGGCGTCACCGTGGCCAGGCGCTGGTCGTGCTCGGCCTGGTTGCTCTCGTCGGCGATTTGCTTGGCCCGATCGAAGATGGAGGTCAGCGAGCCGAGTTGACTGTTGGGCCGACTGGCATTCAGGCCCCGCAGGGATATCGACGTGTAGCTGGGCTGGCGCGCCTGGAGGCGCTGCTGCTTGCGCATGGCGGCCGATGCGGACTTGATGGAGTTGTTGCGGCTCAGGGAGGAGCGCGAGCCGTACAGGCTAGTGGAGTCCGTTTGGTAGCAGTAGTCGGAGCTGGTGCAGCAGGAGCTGGGCCGGCGCGACGAAGTGCCGTACAGGTCTTCTGCAAAGTACTGGGCCAGCTCGGTGCGGGACGAGCTGCAGCAGGATTTGCGCACCATTATCTCCTGCACCTCGCGGTCGGCGCATGCCGCATCCTGGCAGGCGTTAATCGAGCTGCAGGACACATCCGTGACGGAGCGATGGCGCCGACTGCTGCACACATGCCGCGAAGTGCTCTGCCCGCCGCCCGAGGACGACTGATGGGTGTGGGCGCCAGGCAGGCTGCCGCTGCCCCCCACAGCAGCGACGCTGTGCTGCCGGCGTCGACGGCGATGATGATGGTGCGAGTGCGATTGTGACTGCCTCTGACCCTGCTGGCTCTGACCCTGGCCCAGGTGGGAGTGATGGCTGTGCGGGGATGTATGGCGACTGTGATGCGGACTGTGACTGTGGCTGTGCTTGCGCTGCGATGGCTGTTGTGCTTGATGGCAATGCGAGATGACGGCTGCCGCCTCCTGCTGCTGGAGCGGCTCATGCTTGTGTTGGGTGCTGTTCGACAGTAGCGGCGGCGCTTGATCACATACGATATCTTTCTCATAGCTACAATGCACGTAATCGTGTGAGGTGTAACAGGACTGATGCTGATGCTGATGCTGGGGCTGTGCTGCGACTGCAGCGGCAGAGTTGATGGCGGAGGAGGAGGACTGGTGGTGCTGCTGGTGCTGCTGGTGCTCCTCCTCAGCGCGACTCGTTGAATGTACACTGGCAGTTTCAGGAGGTGAGCCGTTCCTCAGTCAAGGCCCGCTGTTCTGGCAGGCAGGTGCTTGCTGACGAAGGTGATGGGGCGCAGAGGCAGCGCTCCGGCCCTGGTGTGTACTTCGGCCGCCGTCTAAAAATCGCTCGGATGCAGCTACAAGAAGCGCAAAGGTGCCAAAAGAACAAAATGAAAATCGAAACAGTTTTCCAATTAATAGAGCTTCCAGTAAAACTTGATTTCAGTTCGATTTATTTCTCTTATTTATTCGAGCTAGTTTATTAGTTTTCTGGCTGTATTTACTTTTAGTGGTAGTTGTAGTAGTGGCTAAGTCTAACAGTGCATGCAAAAAGTACATGCCAATAATACACATGCGCTCATCTATTTCGATTTACAATTTACAAATGATTTCTCGCCTCGAGCGAATGTCATGCAGCCTAAAAAACGTATTTAGCGACTGAATGATTTATGGTAATGAAATGAATTGTGATTTGTGAAGCAATTCTCAAAGTTATTTCCGGACAATTTTGAATACAAGATATAACCCGCATGATTTTTAATTTGCTCGCATTATTGGCACCCTTTATGTAGAACAGTGGTTTCTTGAAAGGTGCTAGTTTTTTTTTTTTTTTTTTTTTTTTTAGATATATTGTTTACTTAGCCAATTCAATGTTATTGCTCAACAAGGTTTAGGCAGGTCCCGAGTTCTCGTTCACTTGCGTACTATAATGGGAAACAATAGGAAAAGAAAACAAACAAACCAAAATGATRTATATTTAAAGCAGTTGATCAACCAAGGTTCTCAGCACTAGAGCGAACCCCTCTGCAGTTCGTTGCAGCTTAGCCTAGAAGGTTAGTGATACGAGCAGATACTGTTAACTGGTTAACTGACGAGCTGGGTGCGATTGTGTGTTAAGTCTTGTCCAAGCGGCACGCGAGGCATTTTCATGTAAATGCTTTGTGGCTGGTGGCCCAATAGCTGGTGTCTTATAAATTGCTTGATTGGGGACTCTGTGAATGTGGCTTAGGGGCTCTTAGTGTAGTTGCTGTTAACCTACATGACATTCTTCCATGCGCCGAGTGCCTGCGAAAGCTATCGTCTCGCCCGTAGTCAGACTCATTGTAGTAGCATTTGCGATTAGGAACTGGCGTTTGTATATTTGTACCGTAGTTTGTGTAGCAGGCCGTGGAGCCGGCTCCACCGACACCGACACCGCCGCTCGCATAGCTCGTCGACGCTGGACCCAAGAGATTGGTGCTATCACTTAACGGATATGGACCCATGCCTTCAACCGTCAACGAGAACGAAGTCGTACCAAAGACTTTAGTATATAATTTGCAACAAATTGATTTGGAATGTTTTGTTTTTGTTTTTGGTTCATGCATTATTCAGATTGTCGCCAATAAATCAGTGACGTTTCCCAATCGGTTACATACAGTAGGTTCATGTTTTATTATTATTTGATATTGTGAATGATGGTAGTATTGTTGTTGTTGTGGTTGTTGTTGTTGTTATTTTAGTTGTAGTTGTGTATAAATCCAGTTGATTATTTAATTGGTTTCCAATATGTTAATTGTTGTCGTTGATTTCGAATTTGTTTATTATAATTTTAGCAGCACAATTCAAATATTCCCAGATAATTATGAATAGTTTTAAAACGAAAAATATGGCATGGTTAAAATTATATCAAATTTTTAATACTTATATATTCTAATAGTTGAAACATTTAAAAGCTAATATTAAATTGCCAAAAGGAAGAGATTTGAGGTCAGGCATGCATAACAGAAAAAGCTAAAAGCAACTAATATTTATATAATTTGTGATGATGATGCATATTTCCTAATGGCCCTAGCACTAGATGTAATTAACCGGCGTTCCTAGGCTTGAAGCCCTGCTTCTAAGACCTTTGTCCCCTTAGCCCCACATAGTATCAATTCATATTATATTTATAAAATAACAAGTCTTTAGCTGTTATAATGAGATCGACACATCAAGACATACGGACAGACAGGCAGAATAAATTCGTCGCTCTGATCAAGAAGATACTTTGTGGTGTCGCCCACGCCTTCTGCATGTTAGATACATTTAACAAAATCATCATACCATGATTCTGCGCGTCATTTTCATAGAAAGATCAAAGTTCAGTTTATTAAATTCGAAATTATATATTTTTAAAGCTCTTCCTTAATATTTTTTAATCCGACACCAATTTATTTTATTATATTTTAAGTCTTTATACTTCTTTTAGACTCCGATTAGTGTAAATTAGTCAATCAGAAAAAAAAAAAAAAAAAAAAAAAAAACTATAAGTATATATAACTACAAGGCTTTTGAAGAACTACAATTGCAACTAGTTTAATAATACATTTTGAATAAATAGTAATTTTGTAGGAATAAATATTAAGAGATGTATGTTATGAGCGTAAGTCATGCCATGTTGCATGCTTCACGAGTTAGACACATCGAAATGGCTGGAAATGTGTGGATTCGAGTAAAAATAAATGTTTAAATGGAAATTAAAATGGAAATTGAAATTCAAATTTGAAGAGAAATGTTTGCTAATTAATTATTAAAAATATGTGTTAATGCGTAATTTAGTGTATTATTTTTGAGAGTTTCACCATGTCGCTGCTTGTGTCTGGGTGGGACATTGCGTATACGCAATGTGTAACACTAATATGGCGGCATGTTGAATATGTTTGTATTTATTTGTATTGTTTAAGTGTATATAAATGTATATACATATATACATGTACATGTATGAGTGTATGAGTGTATTAGTGTGCATGTTACAAGTGTAAGTGGGTTTACTTTTTGTTTTAGGCCGAGCTAAACATCTATTTTCAGTTTACCTAGAGGTCATTATGTTGGATGTGTGTAATTGTGTTTGTTGTACAACATGGATACGTAAATATGGTGTATTGTTTTCATTGGTGTTTGTTTTTAGGTTCATTTTTGCATTAATTTTTGTTTTTTGTTTTTTTTTTTTTTTGTATTTTTGTTTTTGTTTTTATTGAACGAGCAATTTGCACAACAAATAATAGATTGAAATTAAGAACGTAAGTTGGAATTTTGCTTGCAGTTTGTAATTCGTTTTTAAAATTCTTACGTGAGTCATGTTGGGTCTTCTCCTCAGATACCATCAAGGCGGCATGCTCGATGCCAGAATTCATACTTTGTGGCTCCAAGCTATTTGTGCAGTTTAGCATACTCCTGAAATTCGCACACTCTACGATTATGTTTTAAGTGTAAACGTATTTAAAATTTAATTTTTGCAAACTAATGACAGCATTACGAGACATTGGGCATAATACGCGAACGCCTACAGAGAGGAGCAGGTGGGGCGATCAAAATCGGGACCTTGTATTCTCTACACCTGTATGTGTGTGTGTGTGTGTAGGTGGGTTAGCCTCAGCTGAAAGAACTTAGAGCATATGTTTGAGCTGGCTTGGAAGTTATTAGGCGCGGTCGCTACATGAAAACGAAAAGCAAAACCAAAGTCGAAATAATAATAATAAAAAAACAACAATTCAAATAACTTATGATAATATTTATTTAGATAAACAGAAGAAAAACAAAAGGGAACTTAATATTAAAACGTATGAAATAAATTAAAAGTAAACAAGACTAATCGCAAGAGCTGTCGCAAGCAAACTTTTCCGCTCAGTTCCACTTCGAAACTCGAGCGAAATTGAGGAAAAAAAGTGATTTCCGACTGTTGAGATTGCGACTGTTTCCTTGTGCACACATTGAAATGCCAATTAAATTTGCAAGGACATTGCAACTGGGCATGGGCTGGGCTTGGGCGTGGGCGTGGGCGGCAATGTGGGCTGGGGCGTGTGCGGGGGACAACAGCTGCCCTACTTTACTGCACTTTGGTTCGCGTTGCATTGGAGTCACGTTGCGATATCTCAATGTCCGCTGTGGAGCTACTGTTGCCATTGCCGTTGACACTCTCCCCACTAAATGGACAAGCAACATAATCAAAATGTTTTGTTAACTTATATGACTGTGTGTGCGTGTGTGTGTGTGTGTGTGTCGCTGTGTGTGCGTGTGTGTTTTTGTTTTGTCAGTTGTTGTTGTGCTCTGTTATTAACACTGAAAATTTGTGGTGCTTTAAACTAACCAATTTATTAAGAATGAACAATGAGCAATCAGGACAAAGACTCGGAGGGGGATTGTTTAGATGTAGGGGCGCTGCATGAATTAGAAATTGAATTGATTGAAATACATGGATATATGTATATGCATACATACATACATATATAGTTCATTTTGGGGTGGTGGTGGTGACATGAGAGAGATAGAATAGAGAATTACAAAACGGTTGATAATGAAACATGGCATTTAAATAGAAGGGTATACAGAGTACTTAAATTCATATGAAATATTTGAGTAGTTTGTATATTTAAATTGCTAAATATGAACTTGTATTGATTAATTAGTTTGTCAGCTGTAGCCAGCTGTTAATTGATTGTTGTAGTAGATTTAATTATTTTTATTGTAAATTGTAATTTGTAATTTGTAACAAAAGTAACGAGTAGAACAGGCAAAGTTAAGCAGACATGCCGAAAAAGTATGAAACTTTGAGCGCAAGTTTTCATAGAATTTCATTGATTTGTTTTTTGTTTTTGTTTTTGTTTTTGTTTTGTTTTAATTAGTTAAAATGTACAATAAAGTTGCTTTTAGAGTGAACTAATAAAGTACAGCAAACGAGCTACGTTTAAATAGAGCGAAACGCTTCAGATTGTAGTTTTGTTTAAGCTTCGATCTGGAGTTTATTAAGTTTGTTTTTGTTTTTGATTTCATTTTTTGTTTTGTCAGTTTCTCTGAAATTCATGCAACTTACCCGTACAGTCTACTATCTCGAAATGTCCTTCAGTTTCGGGCATACATAGAATGGACATGGTTGGTATTATTTTCAGTACAGTCGTTAAAACGCAATCAGTTACAACAAAATAAACAAGATGTAAATTTCAAAATTTAACAACTTAGGCGCATAGCTGGCGGGCTACACACAACTTCTATGCATACCGCATAATAAACTTCCAAGTACATAATTGAAGGAAAGATATTCGTTCCGCTTAGGGAGAGGTTTTAGTTACAATAGATTTGTGGAAATGTGGCTGAGCTGCTCTGGGGAATTGAATAGGCGTCTGTCTAATCTCTTTAGGTTTGATTACAGTCAGAACTATGTAGTTATCGAATCGCAGTGAGCTGTGTGCAAAGTCTATGATTGAATGGAAGCGCGTACATACCTGCCGTTGTTATGACGGAAGAGGGCCAAGATTTCCTCAAAGGTTTTGTTTTTGGTCTCAGGAACCTTCTTGTAGGTGAATATCCAGAATATGGCTAAGAAAACGCTAAATGGCAAGAATGTGTAGTTCTCCAGAGAGTTCTGTACAATATGAGGAAACGTAAATAGGTTATGCATGATTTTACTCAACATATAGCGACTCACCTTCATTCGGGGGAATCCGATGCCGACCACAAAGTTGGCCATCCAGTTGACCAGCACGGCTATGGCCATGGCGCTGGGCCGCGGGCCTTGGGAGAAGAGCTCCGCTGTTATCATCCAGGGTATGGAGCCGGGTCCCACGGCGAAGAACACCACGAAGCCGAGCGTAGCGACCACAGACAGATATGACATCCAGTCGATCATTTCCTGCACATAACCAAAAAACTCCTATACAAAATGCGTAGTACTCGCGTTCTCGATGATTTGTAGGCTTTTTGTTTCATTCTCATATATGCAAATATATGTACATGTATGCAGTACATATACTTATATATATTCTTGATGTTTAACGAACTGTTCGTTGATAACAAACCAAAACAAATCAAGGAATTTGGTCAGCCATCGGACCAGAAACGTAAAGTAATGTAAGTTAAGTTAAACCCTCTACCACAATATGAGTCTGAGCGCTTATATGCATGAGTTGGGCTTAGCGTCCACTGGAACATATACTTAGTTAAGATACTGTAAAAGTAGTTGCTATCTTGGTTCTCAAAGAGTTGAATCGTTCTCGTCGCGTCACAAACTGTCACTTGAGCTTTTATGCTTTTGCTGTAACACCTTTGGAGAACGCTTAAAGTACAAGTAGTGGAGARTACTAGTATGTATGTATATCTTAAATAAGTAGTATTATATAGATTAGGATTTAGTTCAAGTCTATTTAAATAAATCAAGCGGCGTGTTGACACATTTGACGGTGTGACAGTGTGAGGTTTGTGTGTTGGAAGTGGCCTTTGAAGCGTTTGTCAGCGCGTGTTCTGCTCTAGAATCAATTTAGCGACAGCTTTGTACATTATCCAACACTGGCTTGCGGCTGGCTGTGTTGTGAACTGTTTGCATTTTGGTGCCCGGAAAAACTGCAAATTGCAAGTTGCAAATCGTGTGAATTGTCTTTGCTGTTGAAACTGTGTCTGCTTTTCTTTGTCAATTAATCAAAATAGGAAAACAAATCAATTTTAAATAAGTGTGTCTGTGTCTGTGTCTGTGTGTGTGTGAGTGGGGGCAAAAGCCTGCCAAGTCGAGAATAGCTTTTAAATAAGGGGCGAGACAATTGCCCAAATGAGCTGACCCCCTGAACGCGTTCAGTTGGAGCCAAGCCTCTCATGGGCTGATAGCTCCGACTGCTGTCTCGTGTCTCTCACATGCTAGACTCAGTCAAATACTTGAATAAATGGGCAGCTCATTTGGGCAACAACTTAACCTAGGCACAACACAATATAGAAACGTTGCAAAGAAAAACTACTTTTGTATAGGGCAAGCAACAAAGTTGACTTTAGGTGCAAAACGGGCGACACGCAACAGGCTTTAAGTTAGATTAACATATTTAGAAATATATTCATATTAAAAATGGGAATCATAAATACTATATGTACAGGGAGCCTTAAAGCTTAAACAAGATTTATTAATACATAAGGTAAAACTGTAAAAAAGCTAGCAATAAATTAAATCTGTGTCTGCTGGGTGCATTGCATGCTAGATATGTGTGCTAGATTGAGAATATATTTTACACAAAATTAATAATTGCAGTGGCTTAGCGGTAGCCCATAAATAACATAGTATATACATATATATTTTTTCACTAATTTAAACGTATTTCTACAAGGCACATTGCAGTAAATGCAATGCGATCGAGGGGTATGGCAAATTGATTGCTGGCAGAGGCGCAGCTATAAATTCAGCTTGTTATAAATTCAAATATACATATCTCACATCAATAATTTATAGATATACGCTCGGGACAACTGTCATGCCCGCCCTTTTTTCATTTTTTTTTCTCTTTCTGTTTTTATTTTATTTTATTTTTTTCGGTTTTACTCTAGGGCTGGTTGGCAAAGGGGGTCTACACAACTTCATGCATAAAATATCGATGTCAATATTCAAATATTTATCAAAACATACAAGTATAGAACGTGTAGCATTAGATGTAAAATATGTAGACAGCGTCTTTAAATCATTACCAAATCAAATGCAATATGCAATATATGCTAATGCTAAAAATAAAACGTCTGGCAAATAATTGCCGTACTTCAAAATACCAAATGCTAAATGGGAGTTATGCAGAATGATGGCAACCCTTGTACTTGCCTTGATCAAGAAGGAAATCGTTATGAATATGGAGAAGATGAACATGCCGCCCAGTCCATACAAATGCAGCGTACGACGGCCAGTGCGATCCATTAGCGGAATGGACACCAGAGTCATGACAACCTGTATTGAAAGCAAGGATTCATGTGAGGGTGTGAAGTCTTGGTTGGGTTAACTGCAGCCGGGTTACCATAATGGCGCCAATGCCTATCGTGGCGAACTTGGCGATTTCCTCGGTCAGTCCGGAGCTCATGAAGAGCGACGTGGAGTAGTAGAAGACGGCATTGATGCCGCTAAACTGTTGGCTCAGCTGCATCACGATGCCAATGATCAGAGGCGGACGCAACGTAGACGAGCAAATGAGCTCCATGGTCGATATATGGCTCTCGGCCTGCTGGGCGCGCTCCTCGGCGCGCATCTCCTCAATGTCCTCATCCACGGAGCCGGAGGCGCGTAGACGACGCAGTGCTGCCAAAATAAGCGAATTAATTTGATTACCATTTACTCTCAGCTATTGGCTGTTGGCTGTTGGCTGTTGGCTGTTACCTTTACGCGCCTCCTCCTCCCATTGTTTGGTTATGAGCAAATACCTTGGGGACTCGGGACAAACTGGCAGTAATATTAATTGCAATATTGCTGGACATATGGCCAGGCCCAGCAGAATGGGCCAGCCCTCATTAGTGCCTAAGATTTGTTCAATGCCCAGCACCTGGGATAATAGTAAACCTACAGTCACAGCCAATTGATTAACAGTACCTAAACCACCGCGCAGATTCAGTGGTGCTATTTCAGAGATGTACATTGGCACCAATGATGTATTGAGACCTGCAGAGAGCGAGAGAGAGCGGGAGAGAGAGAGAGCGGGAGAGAGAGAGAGACACACATAAATGAATATAGATCTATAATTTATGGAAAGTGATTTACTTACCGCAATTAACACCTATTATAAATCGGCCAAGGAATAACATTTCATAGGAATGACTAACTTTGGTAAAGCCCATCAAACAGGCGCCGGATATACCAAGCACATTGTTCAACAGTAGGCCGCCTTTTCTGTAAGTGTATCGCAATATTAGCCAAAATACGTTTTACTGTTGTTTCGGCTGACTACAAACCTGCCAAAGCGGTTGGCCATCCAGCCACCGCTGAAACCACCGAGCATGCCGCCAATGGCAAATATGGAGACAGCCACCGAGTAGAGCTGCTGTATGAACTCCTCGCTAATGTCCTCGCCATAGCGATCCTTGTACACATCCTTCATAAAGTTCTCAATATTCTTTTCGGGCGCATTGATGACTCCAGTGTTGTAGCCAAATTGCAGCATGCCCAGCACCGCCGAGAATATGGAGTAGGTGAGGAAGAAGGTGAGACCCTGCAACAGGTGGCCCAAAAACAGAACTCAATTAGCAAAGCACGACTACAAAGGCGGCGGGACGGGATCCGGGATGATTGGCTGGGTATGTGCGGGTTTTCTCAAACGCTTTGCAAACAAGTGTGCATCAAAAATCAAATGTTACGTCATATTCTTTGAGATGAGGCCAATCGGTATTTGATTTCAACTTAAACCAAAATATTAAAACTAGGTGGACAATCCAACAAATTGGATTAACACTGTGAACTGATAAAAACTTATTAGAATAAACTTGAAATAAAAAACGATTTTTGTTTAGATTTCTGCTTAAAAATTTATTAACCAATAGAGAATATATAAAACATAATAGAACTGAAAATAATCATGTTAAATGTGTGAACTTGAAAGCCGGTGTCTCTGTATGTGGGGTATTCGAAAGTTGCGCCCATATAGATATACATAGATGTAGACAAATAAGGAAATGGAATTGAATTCCAAGAAATTTGTATCATGAGCACAACTTTTCAGTGTCGTATTGTTCGATGTTTGTGTTTGTTTTGTTTTGCTTTGTTTTGTTTTGTACTGTTTGGGTGTTTGGTTTTGGTTCGGTTGTGGCTTGGTTTGGTTTGGTTTGGTTTGGTGTACATGAATAGAAATGAAATTCAAGTATTTAATTACACAACATGGCAAATAATTTAAGCTACAAACTTGTTCTAAAAGTCTTAGCTTCCGTCTGTGCGTGTGCTCCTCCAGTCTGTCCACATATTCGCGCAGCTCCTCAATCTCCTCCTTCACCTGCTGCACGGTGTCCAGTTCGTGCTTGATGGCCACCATGTCACGTTTGACCTATACACAAGCACACACACACACACACACACACATAATGGCAAATCGAATTTAAGACAATTGAATTTGGTGTTAATCCGGTGTGCTCCACTTACCTCCGATACCTCACTCTGGCAGCTCTCCACGGACTTGGTCAGCTCTTGCAGCTGTGTGCGGATTTCGCACAAGGCGACTGTCGTCTCCAGGTGTCGATCGCCTCGCTGCAGCTCATCGAGTTTCGCTGATAGATTCATGCTCATCACGCTAACTTGCTTTTGCAAACTGCGCCACGGCGATGCAGGCCCCAATGCAGTTGCAATTACGTTCGCCCCATCAAAAATGGCCGTTCCACACGTGAGTGTAAGTGTCAGTGTGTGCGTGTGTGGGTATGTGTATTTGTGTGGTGGGCGTGGCCGTGGCCAAGTGCGGGTCATATGCGTGCAATGCATACAATTCAATTGACGGCGTTGCGTGACGTCACGTGCCGACGCCAAGTCACGCAAAGTGGCCCCAAGACGTTACGTCGTCGTTGTTGTTGTTGTTGTTGTTCATTTGTAGAATTGTCGCAATTGTTGTTGTTGTTGTGGCATAAGTTGTTGTGTTTGTTACAGTTAAAGAAAATATCAAGCAAAAATGCACTTTAGTTGTACGATAGCTGGCGAATGCCTTTCTGGCTTTTATTATGCTACAGACTACGTAGTTATTTAGTGTATCAGCGTAATTTATATTGTGGCGCAAGTCAAGCAAACGAAGGCACCGTACGAAATTATTTATGACCGCTTGCATTAAAATTTACCGAGCTATGCAATTATTGAGGAATGAAGCAACATAAATTTTATGGCTTTGAGCTGCAACTAAAACTTAAAATACGAAATGCGAAATGCGAAATACGAAATACGAAATACAAAATACAAAACAGAAACACAGAAAGCAGAGCCAAAATACAGGCACAAAACCAGGCAGAGCTCTAAGTAAACGAAAGGATTTGTGTGTTGTTGCGGTTCCAGAAGGACAGAGCGAAAGAGGGACACTGGCGCAGAGGGGCGGAGAGACAGAGCCGACGGAAGGCGCAACAACAACAGCACCAACTTAAAAGCCAAGCCACCAAGTACATAAAAAGTGAGTTAAAGTAAATTGTTGGCATTATTCGTTTAGGTTAGGGCAAGAATTATGCAGTAAAAGTCTCAAAATTAAAAGGATAAATGATCTGCGTGGAACGCCGAGTGCAATATACACTTGGTAACATAAAGCTGAGCTGACTATAAATTCCGTTGAGCAATGAGCCAGGCAGGAAGAGTCCTGAGACCTGTAAATAAGAACTGTGCCACTCTCCGAATAGAAATAAATTCCAAATAGTAAACGGAAAAATACTGCGGGTCGAACTATTTGAAATTGATTTTTATTTTTATCGGAATTGCAGAGAATTTCAATTGGCGTCTTTGGATCCCCAAAAGAGGCCTATAAATGTGCTAACCGCAGTTGGTGTTAGTGTATACCAAGTGGAGTAATCACTTCTGTTTTCCGGCTTAGATTCGACTTTTAGTCTTTACGGAATGCATAAAATTTACATTTTCATCAGCATGCAGCGACATCCAAACAAATAAACGCCCACACTATTTCAGTATGTATGCGTGTGCGTGTGTGTGTGTGTGTTTGCATTTGCCTTGCCTGAGCTGGGGCTAGCCAAAAAGCATTATGTGTACATAGTACGTATCTATGACTGAAAGTGAGAAGTGATTTTTGTTGGTTGTGCAAACAGAACGCGCGAGTGGCGCCCAAAATCAAACAGCAACAACAAACAAAACAGGACATGGTGTGGCAAAAGTTATAGGCGACAGTTGCACATGCTCCACAAAGAGATAGCTGGCAGGAGGCGGGAGGCGGCAGGCGGCAGGCGGCAGGCGGGAAGCATAACGTTGATAACCGACGCACACAATGCGCATACGACACATAGGCTGCACGACCAGCCACAGCCAGAGCCAGAGCCATTTCCCCCCGGCCAGTCTTCTGCAAAGCCATGCACTTGAGTTGGCTGCGCATTATGTTAATGCGCCTATGCGGCTGGCAGGAGGCGGCGGGGTACAGGCAGGCGAGAGTTATTCGCAACATGTTGTCATTTCATTGTTGTTGCTGCTGCTGCTGGTGCTGTTGTTGTTATTATTGTTATTGTTTTGCATTTCACGGACATTGTTGTGCCGAGCATAAAAGGATTATTTTATGCATACATCAGCAAACGAGCTGCAGCACCACGAGCAGCACAGCACAGCTAGAGCCTGAAACAGAAACAGAAACCGAACCAGAACCAGAACCARAACGAGAGCCCGAACGAGCGGCATCCCATGTAAGTTATTGTTCTCCATGAAAACAATTGTGGCTTGTGCAAATGTATTGGCATGCATATCTTTATCCTATATCACTGTGGCTATAGCCGAATCTCTATAGGAATCTGTATGCGCATCACGCATACGAGTATTTGTATGTGTGCATGTGTGCATGTGTGCATGTGTGTTTGTGTGTCTGTCAGATGCAAGCATTTTCGGTTTTGTGTAACGGATTTGTATACGTGAGCATTTAATAAAATTTGTGCCAATTTCTGCTCCTCCTGCTCCTGCTCCTGCTGCTGCTGCTGCTGCTGCAGTTACCTTTTGTATTCATTTAAGGTGCTCGCGAATTTATACGTGAGCCTGACGCTTTTCACAATGTTGTCCTTTGTGGCGAATGCACTTGCATGTGCACATATATATATGTACATGTATAAAAGAGTATTATCCTATGGAGAGCCACTTAATATTGGCTGCCTGGGCAACGAGATATATAGTGAATAGAGGAGTAATAAGGCAGCCCGCTTCATTTGCAGTTCAGCTCAGCTCAAGTGGCGCTTGTAGTCAGCTCAGCTAATCAAAGTTACAGTCAAGCTTAGTAAAAGGAAAACAAAATAGTAGCAATAAAATATCGGGAAATATAACACACATTTGTAACATACTCATTAAAGTTGTTCAAACCAATTGGCATATGGGACATTCACCAAATGTACGCAATTCGATATTATTTTCTTTTTTTTTTTTTTTGTAATTATTATTTTTTGTTTTCTCTCTTTTTGCGGCAAACACAATTTGCAATTACGAAAATATGTTGTTTTATTTTATTGGAGTTCACGTTGAGTTTGTTGCATTTTAGATTTGATTAATTTTTTAGTTTTTTTTTTTAATTTGTTCTTTTTTGTTTTCAGTTCTGTATAATTTGCATGAATTAACATTTGTTTGTGGATATCAAATTTGATTTGTATTTTATGCTAAAATGAGACAACACATGATACAGAAAGCATAATGCACCAATTTAAATGGCAGTCGCAATGGAGTGATATGGATAAATCAACAAATTGAAGCTGATTCACGAGTTTGTCGATTTGTTGCAGCTTTAATTTTAAATATATCGTATCGTATTTTCTTTCATTTTTTTTTTTTTTCTATAATTTTTTATTTTTATTTTTTTTTTTTTTTTTTTGTGGTGAGAGGACCAATCCGCCAATTAGTTAAACATTTTTGTAAAAACAAAATGACAAATAAAAAACTGAATAATAATATAATTAATTTAACGAAACTTTACTAAAGCGATGGCAATCAAGCTAAATCAAACATGACTGAAATATTGAGTGACTTTTAAGGGGCGATTTGAACGAGCAGATGAGCTGTTCGGCTTTATGCAGCTAAATCACATCCGATGAGGTCGGGTTAGGGCGGTTGAATGATAATTATGACTTTGTTGGCATGCAAAGTAGGGGTCGATTGCTGAATGAGTAGGGCTGAGTGTCCAATATTGATTAACTGACTGCCTGGACGAGAATGCTGTTGCTGGTGTTGTTGTTGTTGTTGTCGTTGATGATTGAAGTGTGCGAGTGTGCATGCGTGCATGTGTGTGTGTGTTGGTGTGTGCATTTAAGTGTGTACAGTGACTTAATGGCACTCGAACACTTTTCGGCATGTCATAAAGAACATAACACATACGCATTCACACACTCGCACGCACACACACACACACATACGCACACACTGAATCACACAATAAGAGCAACAGAGGCTTCAGCTCACAGATTGTTGTGGCTGCTCTCAAGTGCCCTACAATGCGCATCAAGTGTCTAGGGCCAGTGTGGCACCCAGCCACAGTGTCAGCCGCATCGCATAGATTTGACAATTGAAAAATGGGATTGGCTGCAGAGGCGATAATTACAATATAACAACTAAATTAAATTTAGGCTTACTAATTGAATTTTAATTGTCTGACATGCAAAATTTAGGTGAGCACGAGTTTCGGGAGTATTTGCGTTGCTCGTTAAATATTTGAAGCAATTAACAAATCAATTGAATGGTCTATGAAGTGCCGTATGGGAGTGCATTGGTTAATATTACAAAGGGTCGAGCAGAAAATAAATAACTGGTACTTGGAGGATAGAAATGTAGTTAGTAGTAGTAGTAGTATATAATGTATGGATATGTATAGATAGTAGAGGTATATTGATAGATATATATTTATTTATTTATATAATTGCTGTGATTGCAGTAGTAGGGAAATGGAAATTGCATACTCATTGAGTGGCGTAAATACCAAACCACTTTGGGTGTGGCTTCTGTAAATTGTTGTTGTTGTTGTTATTGTGGTTGTAATAGTTGCAGTTGTTGTTGTTGATGTTGTGGGTGGAAAGTAGATGACAAGAACACAATTGAAATGTATTGAAATGGAAATGTTTGGTTAAACAGTTATGTACCATGTTACGTAATGACAGCTATCGATATTCAAATGAAAATGAAAATGAAAATGAAAATGTTGACTCGCAATTTTGATCGACAGCTTTGAATTCGATTAACATACGTCTTGGTGCTTGTATAAAATCAAAAATCGACTGCATTTAAACACTTTACATACATATAGACAGAAACCAAAACTCTCTTTACACTGATATCATATGAATGAATGTAATTAATGCAATAGGCTTGCATTATGAAACCAATATCAATCAGTTACACAGCGCACAGCAAACCAACAAAGCAGCAAAACGATTGAAGCGAATTAAACAGTTTTAATTAAACACATACAAATTTAAATGCCTAGCCATTTACAGCACACACACGCCCACACACACACACTTACACAGTCACGCTCTTAATAGTAATTACAGAAAACGGCAAGAAGACAAAATAAGAGCGTTTATGTGATAAATTTGCATTAATTTAAAATATTTGCATTGTGCAAAATAAACATATTAACCAACAACAACAAAAACAATAATAACAACATAAACAGAGAAAAACTGAAAATAAGAGAAAATGAAATACATGGCGTATGCGTAATGTTCGCGCTGTTAATTATGACTATGCTTTGTTATTATTATGAAAATTAATTTGAATAGTTTGGAATGCTTTGTATATGTACCTGGGTGGCATTGTGCCCATCATTTTGTTGGCTTTTATTTTGTGTTCACACTCCGGCGTTTATTTAACAATTTATATAAATCTTCCGCTCTCCTTTTCTATCTCTCTCTTTCTTTGCTTTTTTTTTCGTATTTTGTATTTTAGTTATGCATCAAAAAACATTTGGCTTAATTAATATTTTTTGCATGTTTTCTTTTGTTTGCTTTGCTTTGTTGAGAATTTTTTGTTAACCCGAGCTTTGGTGAATGTCGCATGTGCTTGCCGTTGTTTTTAATATTGTTTGATATTTGGGGCTTTTTGTTGTTTGTTATGCCTCTACACTTTTTACGGGTGGCCGTGCAACAAAAACAACACAACACAAATGCCCTCAATAAATAATTGACATTTTAAGGACACGCGCCGGACACTTAAACGAACATAATTTGCGCTAATCTGTGTGGGGGAGGGAAATTAGTTAGAATAGTTAAATATTTGCGCATAAATATGACCAAAAGTCCAAATATCGAATAAATATTGTTTACATTAACTATAAAAATAAAAAAAAAAATGAAACGAAAATAGTTTGAAATCTGTGAAAATTATTTTGTTTGTGCAATTCAATTAAAGGACAAAACCAGCTGAAAATAATTCGGCGTGTTTGCTGATTTGCAAATAAAACATTGGCTCCAATGCACGACGAGTAGCCAAATAGATAAATTAAATGCAAATGATTATGTGTGCGTGCCATTAAATGTATAAATTAAAAACTTGCCACATTCTTTATGGGCAACAAACTAAATATGCATATTGCTAAATAATTGCTATTTATTTGTCTAGCTAACTGCGAATACTTTGCGGCGAACAATTCGCGGCATGCAAATTAAATGACGCATAATGAACCAACACACTGAAAAATCGCAGAGCTATAGCTGTAGCTGTGGCTGTAGCTGTGGCTGTGGCTGTGGCTGTAGCTGTAGCTGTAGCTGTAGCTGTAGCTGTAGCTGTAGCTGTAGCTGTAGCTGTAGCTGTAGCTGTAGCTGTAGCTGTAGCTGTAGCTGTAGCTGTAGCTGTAGCTGTTGCTGTAGCTGTAGCTGTAGCTGTAGCTGTAGCTGTAGCTGTAGCTGTAGCTGTAGCTGTAGCTGTAGCTGTAGCTGTAGCTTTATCTTTATCTTTATCTTTATCTTTAGCTTTAGCTGTAGCTGTAACAACACAAGTGCCACGCCTAGCTCATACTGTGCTCATTTCATTTGCATGCAACGGCCAAATGGAGTCGCCTGCCTGATTGGCATTGCTTTGATTCGCTGGTTCGTTCTACATACTCGAGCAGCAATTGGCGCAGTGTAGCCTCATCCTCGCCATGACATCTCAATCTTGACTCGCGGTCACGATCATCACGGCTCGAGTGGCGCTGGCGCTTGGGGGCGTAGCTGAAGGAATGACGATAGAAACGGCCGTTGTTTATATTATCACCTCGATAGGCGTCTGTGGGCGACAGTTAGAAGTTAGTTCAAGGAATTGGGTAGCCGGACGTATTAGAGAGATATTCAACAGATGGGTGAGTAATACGCACCTTCGGGTCGCAGGCGCACTGGCGGCGAGGTCAGCTTAAGTTGAGTTGGCGTTGTTGTGGGCGGAGTCTTACGTCGACCACCAAAAACATAATCGTAAGAATCTTCGCTCAAATTGGACACTGAACAAGGCATACACGACAAGAAGAATAACGAGCAGGCTCATAAGGACTTGTGTCAAAGCAAAACCACTTAAAGATTACGCTTAACACGAATTTGAAAACCACCAAAACTAAAAACTAAATCACTCAAAACATAAAAATATATCAAATAGAGCAACAGCAGTGAGCAAAGACTTTGCACAAATAAATCAAAATAAAATGAAAAGTTTAAATACTTTGCGTAAATAGAATATATTAAAAGTAGGCTCAATCCTACTTGATTTGGTTCTTGTTGCTGTTGCAGTTGCAGTTGCAGTTGCAGTTGCACTTTTATACTCACTCTACAAATGAACGCATAAAAGCATATTATTCAATATAAATAGTAAATTGTTTGTCAAGATTTGTTGTTTTGTCCGGTTTATAAAAATAGAAGAAGAGAGCACAAAATTGTTAGAATTTGTTAGCATTTCAGTATTTTTGGTTTTGTTTTTGTTTTTAGATTTATTTGACAGTTGTGGGACAGCACTAAGGTAAGTGAAGTGGAAAGAGTAACGGCTGGCAAACGTTCAAAAAATGTTTACAAAGCAGCTGCAAATTACATTTGATATATGAATGTTTTTATTTGCTTTCTAATAGACATTTCCCAAAATAACAACTTAAAGAAAAACACATAGCAGCATCAATACAGAGCACAGCTACTTGAAAAAGTTTTTAGTTTTTTTTCTTTTCTATGGAATGTTACAAATATTTTTTTTTTTTTTTAGTCAAAAAGTTGAAAGTACAAAGAGCAAGCACAGATAGAGGGCATAGAAAGAGCGACATTTAATTAATGGACGACTGTTGGTAGTTTTTATTTATTTTTTTTTTTTTATGGAATTTGGTTGATTGATTGATAGCCTGAATGGGTGCGGCTGGCGCAGCTGAAAAATGCTAAACAAAGTTAACAAAAATGTGTGTAACTGTAACGCGCTGTGGCATGTTTGGTATACCTGTGGCTATGCGCGTGTGTGTGGTGTGTGTGTGTGTTTACAGGTATTCAGGAGTCTCTGTGTGTGTGTGTGTGTGTGGGTGTGGGCGTGTTTGTGTGCTAGAACGTGTAGTCTCGTATGCTATGGTAGGTATTTCAGTGATGGAGTCGAAATCAAAATAAAAGGAGTCTAAAATACATCAACGCCAATTAAGCTAGAAACAAAATCAAAAGTTCAATCTACACATCAATTCAAGTGGCAATAAAATACTTGAACAAATCAAATATATTTTGATGACTCTGACAAGTATGCAGAGAACAACAAAAACTGTGGGTCGAATGTAAACCGAAATAAAACCAACCGAAAAATGCGAGCAAATAACAACAACAAACATTAGAGACAATCAAAGAGAGCAGACAAATGAGAGGGGATTTATTTAGCTAGTTAGTTGGGCACCTGGAAATACGCTCAACGGCTGAAGCACTTGAGTGGAACGCAACGGCGGTGGTAACGGTGGCAGCTGTCCAAACGGGTCTTGATCGTTCGAAATGGAAGACGTTGGCGGCGAGATCATCGATATGTCACCACAGGTCGCCATTTCATTACTGTGGCCAGCTGCAAGAGATTTTCAAAGAAGTTAAAAGCGTTACACGATATGCATTTCAATATTCGAGGCCACGAGAAGAAAATCACTAAGGCACACACACACTCACGCACAACAAAGGGCTCTGCAAGGCGCCAAAGGTAAAATTAAGATGCGGCGCCATATTTCGCACATACATAAATTGTGTGGCAAGTCCAAGAGGCAGCGGCAGCTGCACGGCACGCATGCATGAATGCATAGGTAAAGCTTTTAGTCGGAAAACGCCTGGGTGAGCAAACACACCCATACACACACACACCCACACACGTGCATATGGCAGTGGCACGGGAGCCGTAAAGTAGGCAACCATACATGTGTGGCTCCATCTTAGATTTGGCTTACTTCCAGTACAGGTTTGGGATCTGCATCTCGACTTGTGAGTGGGCCGGGGCCGAGTCGGGGTTGGAGTTTGGGTCTGAGTCTTGGGCACGTTGCGTGCCTTTGCATAAAATAGATTTCATTTTGATTCGCTTGAGCAGCAACAGAAGAAAAACCGCAGAAAATGAAAGAGAAACAGTCAATGCCTTAAAGGGAATTCTCTAGCAGCCAGTTAAATCTTTTGTAATAGTCAAATACTTTAGATTTAACACAATTTAGATATATATAGTTATGTAAGCATTAACTATAAATAAAGCAGACACTTGTGTTTATTTAAAATCAAAATTAAATTCTGCAATCAATTACAAAATTATTAAAATTTAGCACTTAAGTATTCATTTACCTTTTATTATAAATTGGAATCAAATACAAAAATATTATTATATCTAACAAAAAGTTATATGTTTGCAATTTAGCTTTGACCATAGAAATTTATATAAATTTATTCAATTTATTTATAAATATCAAATCCCACAAGGAAAACCTGGCCCGGGGCCCCCTTTAAACCGACTTTATAGTAAATAAAGAATAACTGATAAGATCAGCCACCAAGAACGTGACTCAACTCACGCATAGTCTTGGCCAGTGTAGAGTACAATTTGCAATTCCTTCTTCTTTTCTTCCCTTTTGGGAACTACACTACATGAGTTGTAGGTGGGCTTAAAAATGCCTCGCTAGCTGCGATAAATGTGCCCATAGTCAGCTTCACTTTGTGGTTTGCTATGGATTCCGCAGGCCAACACTTGAGCCTGCATACACACACACACACATACACACACACGAACAAGAAAGAGAACAACAACAACAACAGCAACACGTGCAGCTATCCGTACGGTATTTTGAATTTTTATTATTTGCAATTTGCGTTAATGTTGTGGAAAAAAGCATGTGGCTGTTATGGCTGCTGGCTTTAGCTATAAGCATCATATGTCTGTGCGTGTGTGCGTGCGTCTGTGTGAGTGTATATGTTTTTCTATGGCATATTGAATGGCCATTTGTGCCACAGTCACACACAGACACCCACACCCACACCCACACCCACACCCACACACAGGCACATGAGCACACAGTCGCACACTAATGACCTTTTCATGGCCGCCTGTCGATGAATGTAAGAAATGTGGGCAAATTATGGAAGGATCAGGCGTGTATATCCCTTGCCAGTTGTCGTTATTGACAAAATGATTTGTAAACATTTTGCGCGTCATTAGCTGCAGTCATTGCCAATGGCTGAAAAGTCCGCAATGGCATTTCAGCATTTTCGCATTTAACAGATTAAAATCATGCATGCATCAACATTTCCTCAATGGCTCCACAGCCGCTAGTTGGCAGCTGACTTGTGGCAGGATGCAGCCACCTGGCTAAGTTCTTTGCTGACCATGCAACTGCTTCCGGCTTCAGTTGCATGAATGGAGCCAGACCAGAGCAGACCATCTAGGCCAAATAGAAGTCAACTCGACGACCGAGTCACTGTCATCTCGGATGTGAAGAGTTGCCTCAATCTCCACATGTGGTATGCAAATATTTGCTTAAATTTGTGCTGAGGTTAAGTTTTTTGTTTATTTTGCTTTTGCAGCAGCGCAGCTGCTACTGCCACTGCCACTGCTGCAAGTGCAGCAACTTGATGACAGACAATGGTCAATGGTCTGGGTTATGCTTCAGCCGCCTTGTCTGCCCAGTCGCATCCATTCGCATGCCTGACTGGACTCCCTGCTTCTAATCACTATCCCAGCCCCCGCCAGCCCCCCGCCCCACCCACAAATATATGTCATCTTACACACTGGCTAGCTGACACAGAAAAATAGCTGTGGAAGCTGGGAGCCAGCGTTTTGACTGCATGCCAAGGCCTCCACTGAAGAAGCAGCTTCAAATCTGACGATGCTGATGACGCAAGTAGCACGCCACAGCTCCTCCCTACCTCTCTCTCACTCTCTCTCTTTCACTCACTCTTTCTGTGTGTGTCTGCATCTAGCAGTAAGTCATTTATGTGCGAGTGCGTATGTGTGTGTGTCTGACTTAGAGGCTTGCCCATTGACAAAAGTGCTCTGCTTGCGTCCTTTGGCCAGGCCGCACAGTTATGAAAGGGGGCGACTGCCACGCCCTTCGTGGATGCTCTGTTAACATTTAATAATTGAATATTATGCAATCAATGTGTCCGAGTGCCTCTGTTGACTTGGGCGCATACTTTTAGGCATTGCATTCAGCTTATTTGCATTATTCATAGTAGATTTCTTTTWTATACATATTTATTTATTAGCAAGCACTAGAGCTACCATGTGCTCTTATCTCTCTTCAGTCATTACACCTCAGGCTTAGGCTATCTGTTAACTTTAATGTACATCTGAGGCAGCAGTATTTCATTGTTAGGGGTGCATATGTATTGGTAAGGTAACGAAAATTGTCCAGCTGAGTTACACCTTAATAACAGGGCCCCTTCAGTTTTCAACTTTGCAACTTTGGGGCAACCGCTCGTTATCTGCCAGTAAAATGTATTCGCCTCGGGCATTTGGAATAAACTTGAGCTTTTTTCAATTGGCATTTCATATTCAAGCTCTCATCACGCTGTCGCGAATGGAATGTCAACCCATTCTGCAAATTAACATGAATAAGTTTCAACTTTCTCACAAGCCGTCGCTTAACTTCTGCAGTTTCTGACAGTTCATTTTATTAACTTAATTTTTGATTTGTCTAAAAACTTGAGCAATGCACTCACACAATTCTCTAGTTCGCGCTTGTTATCTCTCTCAGTTTCTCGCACATTCACCCCGCCCCCTACGCTCTCTGCGGCTCGGTCAGGGCGCTATTTCTCTCGCTGGCAGTCTCCAATCAAATTAGCAAGTAAAATTGAAAACTGATTTATTCATGAGCTCAACTAACCATTTTTTGAGATAAGAATAATTTAAAATTCAATTAACTAACGCCACAGCTCAAGCTAGCGCTGTCCACACACCCGCACACCCACACACACACACCCCCACACACACTCATACTCATGCACACACTTCAACAGTCAGTTACAATGGAAAGTTGCGCTTCGGGGGCCTCGAAGTTGGTTATAGTTTATAGTTTGTATTGTCCCGGGACTGAATCTGCATTTGCATTCGCTGTGCTGAGTTTTCACTTGTGAATGTTGTTTTTGGGTAATCAATTGCAGGGAATTGTAGAGCTCATGAAGTTTTCGCCTTGAGCGCTTGTCAAGTAAATATGCTTGATTAAGTGAAACAAAAGCCGCACATAGACAACTGCAAAACGCATCCGCACATCCGCACACACGCACACCTGCACAGAGTGCAACCACAGCTCTATTAGTTATTGTGCGCCATCTTGTTGTTGCTGTTGCTGCTGTTGTTGTCGGTGTGTTCATTAATGGGCTTTTGTATTTGTTAACCGCAAAAATGATTGCCGCTCAAATGCACTTGAATGCGCCACTGCTGCTACGGCCGTAATGTCAACACAACCGCAAAATCCTATATTATTGCGTTGCCTTAAGCCAGCCAACGCATGCCGTATAAATTTAATATAGTTTGAGTTAGAGCTCGACTCGCTGGCCAGTGCTCACATCACACATCAACTGCAAGTGGGTGCCAGAAAAACGAAACGATGCAAGCGGAGTCATGCAGTGTAAGCACGTGTCTGTGGGTGACACTTGACAATCAGCATCAAAACAGACGAAGATGGAGACGTAGACGGAGACGGAGATAGAGACTAGCCGGACGGCACAGCAAAGCACTGAAGATGGCTTGGCGCTGGCGCTGGCAAAAGTGAATTGGTTTTCAGCATCGACGCCGTCATCGCCATCGTATTGGGCGCTGGATCTGGATGCGGTCTAGCAGGCAACTTCTTGTTGTTATACTCTCCTCTCTCGCTCTCGGAAGTGCGGACAATTGTTAATACATACGTAGACACACTCACACACACTCACAGTAATGGATTTGGCACTGCAGTCCTCTTGGTTGTTTTTTTTTTTTTTTTTTTTCGGGGGGGGGGGGGGGGTTTTTGTTTTGTTTGGGCAAAGTTTACACGTTTTATCAACGCTGTTTATTTGTCCACATACATCTCTATATATGTACACGAGTTTTAAAAATCACATTCATTAAGTTGCAGCACACGCGACGTATGATTAATATTATGCTGTCGCCTGGACGTGGTTAACGCTGCAGCTGCAATCGCTGCCGCCAGTCGTACGCTCCTATCAAAAAGATACGCTGAAAATATCGCTTTAACGCTTCATCTGGCACTTTAGCCAGAACGAGCGGACATTTTGCACATTATTAAAATTACTTGAGTGCCCGTCAACGGGTGCCAGCCATATCGACAGAGTGTTAATGCGAAATATGTATATCAGAGAAACGGCACGTTTAACGATAAAAAAGAGGAAGAAGAAAAAATAACACAGCTGGAAGTACAACTTGTGATAGCTTGGTTATGGCCATCACCACATCGTATAAGGTGTACATATGAAACAGGAATATTAAGAATAACCCGTCAGAGCTTAAAGTTCTACTGAATATGGCGATTTCCGAAATAAAATCTCTCATATATAAATATAAACTTAGAAAAAATAATAATAACTGTAATCATAATATTCCACAATCCAAAAATGGAGACCGTCTTGAGCTGGAGTAAATGTCACACGCTTTGCTCAGGTCAAGTCAGCATTCGGATGCAGTTAATACAAATTCCAATGCAAATGGAAAATCGGGGTAAAATGGTTTCTTTAAAATAGTATTTTACATAAATTCTTAAAACTTTTGATTTTTGTATAGCTGTTTTAGAACTTGATATTTATTTAATTTCGCTGGAGTAAATTTTACTCACCGTTGCACATAGGAAAGCCATTTCGTTGCCAGTCCAGGGCCAGAGCAGTGAATTATCATGCGACGCTGCTGCTGCTGCTTGTGCTGCTGCAGTTGATGATAATGATGTTGATGAAGACGATGCCGAAGAAGCGGCTAAAGCAGCGGGCGTGGGCTGTGGGGGGCTGGGGAAATTTTCAGGCTCAGTTGCTCTAATGCTGCTTTGTGCCAGTCGAATCCAATTTTAGCTGCATGAGCTGCTCGTAGATCGCATAAACTGCACGCACGCACACAGACACACACACGAACACCAACGCGAACACGCAGTCAGAGAGCGCCGCAACGGAAAGCGGCTGCTGCCGTGGCTCACGCCTTTCGCACTTGGCAAATGATAAAAACTGGCAACGCACTGCTAGAAAATATGCATTTTTAATGCCATAAATTAGTTTTGCCGTTTGTCGTTCCTCTGCACCGTAGAGCTGCAACGAGAGTAAAAGAGATAGATGCGTAAGTAGTGCGAGAAAGAGAGAGAGTCGCCATGTGTACTCGTAAAAGAACCCTAGCCCAGTTGAGTGTCTAAAGCTGTTTAACGTAATACATAAAAACTAAGTGAAATGCGCACACTATAAATGCGTTTTTAAATTTTAAAAAAGAGACAAAAGGAGAGTCGCTGCAGCTAAAGGCTTACGTAATTCATAAACTAATAGCCAGCTTCCATTAGCCACCCAGCAGCAGCAGCTGACTGGGGCAGCTGAGTGGGGCGGAAGGTGTGTGCTGCGCAGCGGGTTATATTCATTACAACTAATTTCATATGCGGCATTTCATAATAACTAATTGAAATTCAGTTTTTGCTGAGTCGCTAATTTAAAGTTGCCTGTTGGCTTTGCTAAGCTGCCATGGTTTGTTATCCCAAAAGAATGAGATTTACGCCCGGCTGCATCCAAATATCGGCACTCATCGCGCCAACACTCTCAGATACCCTGTAGTTGAAGAGCAATGAAGTGCTGAGTTCCMRAWTGAMATAAATAGTATATATAATATCGCATAGATCCTCAATATAATATTAAAATAATAATATATACTAATTAAAACAAGTATTATGTTAATAATTGGCTGTAAATCATTGAGATAGATCATTGACATATACTATTTTATATTAAAATAAATATTTCATTCGCGATTGTTGGCAGACTGTTGCAGAACATCATCAACATACATATATTGGATTACACATTAAAATAAACATTATATTCATAGGTGTTTCTATCTGAATTAGCTGATGCCAGCCAAACTAGCCAATTTCCTCAGAGCTGCTCATTTGAAAGGCAGCTCGCATTTTTCATCTAATGCAATTTGGCAATACAACTCCCAAGTCGAATCATAAAAATTGCAGAAGAAACTATTTCGACTTGCTGAAAATAACTGTGAATGGGAAACGTCGCAGTCTTTGGCCGGAAAAGTCGGTGTTAGTGACTGAGAACGGCCAAATACCGCTTAAAAATGCATGAGTGTGAAAAGCTGCACCGAGTGCACCGCTGAGCACAGCAAAAGGATTGGGGTTGCAGCTGGATCGGGGAATTGCTGCCACGAAGAAAGTCGGAAAAGTTGCTGCAACAAAAATCATAACTGGCGGGTCCTGGGGATCGAAGCTGGCAGCCAAGGATGGCGGAGCTGTGACTGAACGAATGGTATTGAAGCAGAACGGCAGGAGCTGGCCCACAGCAGCGCACATACATAAAATGTCACAGAATCAGAGCCAAGAGCTGCTCATATGCATAGGCTATGGCATGAATAAGTAAGCTCAAGCCTGCCTCAGCTGCAACAATGCAGACAGCAAGCGACAAATAAATTGTTGGTGAGAGCTTGACGGAGGGGAAGAGTAAGACAGAAATTCAGAGGGAGAAAGGCGAGAGAAAGAGAGAGCGAGGGAGAGAGAGAGAGCTAGCGAATGGCTGTGATGTGGCCCGTGCCGACTTTTGCTTTTCATTCATACGAAATTACCTGCGGCCAAGAGGCGTAATGCCAGTTGGACTGCAAAATCCACTTAGGAAGTTGATACAATCAGCTGCTCTGACGAGCTGACTGGCCCGGACGACCGCCCATGTCTGCATGTGGATGGATTCATTAAAACGAATTGCCCTGAGTTTTACGGCCAGACTCCGGCCTGCCTCTGGCCAGGCTCAGCCCGGCCAAATAGTCCGAGCAGAGCTCACCAGGGTATTGCTGCGACTACTATATGTGTCTATATATGCAGTTTTTTGGCTTTTGTTTCGGGGACTCATTGACGTGCGGCTCCGCATACGAGTACTGCATTTACCACAGAATGGATGCTGCTTGCAACGGCAACTGCGACGCTGACTGCGACTGCGACTGCGACTGCGATTGTGGCAATGGCTGTGGTTGCCTCTGGTGCCTTGGTTTTGTTTGCGCCGCAAAGTATGCAACGGCTGCTGGTTTTGTGCACGGAAGCCAACAAATGAATTAGCCTCCGCTTGTTACCATCCATCTGCCTATCTCTCCGCTCGCCCGCCCATCTGTCTTTATGCCCTGCTTATTTGCTAGTTTGTTTGCTAGCTGTTAGGGCTCTGTGTGCTCGGCTTGAATTCGGCTAAATCTACTTTGCTGCGCCAACAGCAACCAGTCGCAAAACGCATTAAAACTGTAAATTAAGTGGAGCATTGTGCAGATTGGTTTCAGTCCAACCAAACCAAGCGAAACCAAACCCAGCCCAGCCCATGACCCCGATCCATTCTCAGTGTCCTCATTGATTAGCCACACGACTGCACTCAGAGTGCGCCTAATTAGAGAAGACTGTCCCACGTCGGGCGTCAATTGCACTGAGGACTGCTAACCGCACCGACTTTTCTTTCTTTCTGTACGACAGCCTCGCTCCGGCCTCTCAGCGTGCTGTTAATTATTTATATTTTACATTTAATACGCAGCTTAGGCAGAAACCTCAGCACACACACGCGCGCACACAGACGCATTGACTCTTAAACAGCCAAGTATTCATACACATTCATTTTTATATTCATATGGTGGCCATATTTGAAGCTTTGAGCTCTGAGTCGTTCTAGTTGTTTGAAGTGGGCGCCCAGGCAACACTTCCGCATCAGCGTTGAGCGATTTGGGCGTTGAACGTGTGTGGAAAATGGCATAAAGCATACATCCCGAGCACATACAAACACCCACACACACACACACAGATACAAGCAGGCATTGAGAGACTTACATGCATATTTTGCTTACGCCTACATTTGCACAAACAAACAAGCCCCAAAGAGTCTCGTTCAAAGTAGAGCGAACTAAACTCAACTCCAACTCCGACTCTAACTGCCCCGAATCCAGGCAGTGCTATAGCTCAGGGTCTGCATGTCCATGTAACATGTTAATGAACTGCGCCAACTGTGTTTGCACAGAACTTAGTGTAATGTAATCCAAGAGCAACCAGGCAGGCTGGCAAAGCTGGCGGGATGATGAGGCTGAAGTCAGTGGACTGGACTGAAGGTGGGGCGCGGGAGGCGGTTTGTAGTCAGTCAGGCAGCCATTACGAGCACTCACACGCACACGCACACACATACGCACACGCACATGCACACACGTATGCACACCTCAACACCCCAATGTGTCGAATGTTACGCCAAGGAGTAACTTTGACATTTAGCATTCAAGGCTTATGAGTGCCACAAACACTGGGCGTGGAGTCTGGGGATCTGAGCGGGCAGGAGGCTCTGTCATGAAGGCTGCAAGCAGCCTGGGCAATTGCCTTATGGTTATTTTCATAGCCCTGGCCTGGCCACAAACTGCGCGCCAAGTGTGACATATGCCGCAGCAAAAAGCGAGCTAAACTAAAAAAAAGGTATACACAAAAAAAAAAAAAAAAAAAAAAAAAAAAAAAAAGAGAAAAAGCCAACAGGCGACAACCTGCAAACAGTTTGGATTCTGAGTTGGCACTGACATGCCAGCTTGTAGGCTGCCATCAGAGATGCCAGCGTGTGCGTTAGCCAGCTCAGCCATTGGGAAATTAAATATGGCTACGTGTGGCATGCTGCGCTCGAACGGGGCAAGTATGTGTTTGATTTTATTTAGGGCATGTTTCCTTTCAACAGAAATGTATGGCTATATTTAGCATATTAGATGAAAGAAAGGAATGCATTTGAATGGGACTGCTTGAGCTGTAGATATTAGTATTAATATTATACATTATATAAGAAGTTAGTGACTTTAAAGTCTTCACTCTTCAATAGTGTAGCATAGGATCTTCGTGGCTGAGCAACTTTTGAATTCATTTAAAATTTAAGCTTGATGAATAATGACACAGAAATATCTAATGTAAATACAGGGAAGGTATAAGCGTAAAATACTTTAGTGTAAGCTGCTTATTTAACTTTGTCTCGCTTTTAATCTCAATGGGTGAGGGCTAAGAAAGTTTTTGCTTTTTTCGTATTTTCATTTTCATTAAAATGTGTGGACATATTTCATAAATCAGCTTTGCTGATAGCCACATTGAAATTGACTTCACAGACACATATACGTACAAAAAAGTAAGTGTTATTTATTTACTTTTATTTAACATATTTATATTTTTATTTAATTATTTTTCTCTTTAAAATATTTTTGTTTGTTTCTTTTTTGTTTTGCTTGTAACTTGATGCTCATGAGTCATTTTTAATATGATTATTATTATTACTATTCACTTTGATATTCGATATGTACTTTGATAACAGTGCTGATAATAATATTATGATATAGTTTCGCTATATACCTAGCCAACAGCTCATAAACCTATATAAATCAATGTGGACGAAGTACTTCAGCAAAAATAAAACAAGTTCAACGATTCGGCTTCTCCTTCCTCAACGATTCATCAGCCAAAGACGTATGATTACAATATGAAGTAGATTGAGTGGAGAGAGTATTTTGTGATTTGAAAGAGTATGCAAATCTTTAGGAAATCTGGAATATAAAATATTTTGTATTGTTGCTTATTCAGTCATCTCCCTTAAAATTACACACATTGTGCTGGAATATTCTGTGTCGCCTCCTGTCGATTGTCAGTCTCGATGCAATTGCCTGAAGCTAAGGCCGTAAGGTGCTCCGTTTTAGCCATTGGCATGCAGG